AGGGAGGAGGGAGGGAAGCCTGTTGCCGCGGCCTCTCGTCAGCCCGGGCCTCTGCCTCACGGGTAAGGCACAAATTGGTGTTAACCCTTCTGGGCCCCCGCGGTCGGGTACGTTTCTGCGGGGCCCGGCGCGGCGTGTGGCCGTTGGGCGCTCGAGGTGACCGCGCTCGCCGCTGAGTGCGACGCGTGGAAACCTGGGTGCTGTGGGACAGGAGGTGGTGGCTCTCTGCCCCTCCATGACCACTGTCACGCAACGTCAGGCCCCCGGCGACCCTCCTCGGGGAGGGCCTGCCGCGGTGGCAGTGCCTCGCTCCCTGAAAACTGGGCCACAGCTTAGTAAGAGGAGCCTGCTAATTATAGCGTCTCATCTAATTTTGTGCGAGTAAATAGGAAAGGAAGAAAATACTTTAAAATTTAAAGCTGGTGTTTATGCACTCTGACAGCTGGATTCATCTCGCGTCGGAGAGCTGCTCCAAATTTAAAGGTTGTGGTTTGACAGCGCCTCAGGAAACCGAGTTAATGTAAATGCTGGGCATGTGCAGACTCAATAAAACTTGTTATGTTTGTGAAACTCTAACCTTACTTTCAGTTATAGAAAAATGAGATTAAAACCTAAATGAAATGTTATGCATTTTTTAAGCTGACCTTTAATGTTTCTATATTAAAACTACTGCATCGTTTAGTATAACTATCACTATTTGTCAGTATTAATGTTGTGATTTCATTTATATGCTTATTAATATAGTGTTGATTTAATCGATACTTGCAATTACCAACTTCAGGCTTTAATCTTATGTTCTTTGCTGTTCTGTTTCCCATGCAGTGGAATGAAATTACAAAATATTTCCGAGCAGGCATGCCATTAAGGAAACACAGGCAACATTTCAAAAAACATGGAAGCTGTTTTACTGCATCAGAAGCTGTAGACTGGCTCCATGAAGTATTAAGAAGTAATAGTAACTTTGGTCCTGAAGTTACTAGACAGCAGACTATTCAGTTATTAAGAAAGTTCCTCAAGAATCATGTAATTGAAGATATAAAAGGGAGATGGGGATCTGAAAATTTAGAAGACAATGGTGCACTGTACAGGTACTGAAATGAAGACCAGTTAATAGAGCTCTTCAGGTTAAGAATTTTATTTAAAAATCTTAATGCTCAGATTCTCAAAAATATCTTGCTTTGGGTTGAGCAATTGGGCCAAAAATTAATTAGTAGCACCGTTTTACTCCATTCACCATTTTATTTTACTCTGACTTGCAGTATAGACCATACATCCTGTATGCTGAGGGCTGTTTCCATGCTTTAGTCTAGCAAAGTTTTTCACTGGCATACATGCTACACTCAAGTGCTTTGGAGGGGAGCCAAAGAGAATTTATTGTAGTGGCTCCATGCTGTGCTACCAGTCCTGTGTTTACTTCTCTTGTACATTTTACAGAAAGTCTAAGTGGGAGACAGAGCCTACCCTAACTTCTAAAGTTAAAGGTATTAATGGCCCTCACTGTCAAATTCTGGTCTTAGTGCTTCATAAATAACCTGAGTATCTTCAGCTTGACTTTAGAATCAAGAAAAGTAGCCCAAAGCTAATTTATAATATGATAATATTAAACGTTCTAAAGAAAAAAATTCAGCATTTTTCTTCTTAATTTCCTGAATCTCTTCAGAACCTAATGGAATCACACTGGTATGGAATTGTAGGGTATGGTTTTGGTTAAGTGAATTCTTATATTTCTGATCTGTTCTAAATATATTTAACATCTCTCCTGTATGTTACAGATTTCCTTCAGCATCTCCAGTTAAACCTCTGCCAAGCTCATGTCCACCAAAAGAGAACTTGGAAAACTTCTCTAGAGACAAAGAAAGACTTTTTAAATTGCCTCATTTATCCAGAAGAGCTTTTAAAAAACATGAGTTACTACAGTCTCTGGTAATTACTTATGGTTCTTACGTATACAGTTGCCATGTATTTTCTTCATTCTTTAAAAAAAAAAACCAAAAACCAAACTAGAAGCAATCATCTTTTAGTGACACTGTTCTGTTGTGTCATCTTCCCATCTAGCTTAAAGAAATAAATTGATAGGTTCTTCTAGACAGTGAAATAGAACATTTATATAGGCATAATAGAAAGATACAGCTACATTATACAATGAAGTGTCTGTGATGTTTGCTGTTTCACTTTTTCAATGTACAAAAAGAGATTTTATTAAATAACTGGTAAGTATTCAAACAAAATAAAAACATGTAAAATCATAGCTATAACTGTAACATGGCATTTTTGAAATGCTGGCAGCAAGTGAAAGGGATTATGCATTTGACCGAAGAAATTAAGTACACTCTTAAAACAGTATGAAGCTGTTTCTTCTACATGTATTGGCAATAGTTTGTTGGGAAGAAAAATGTGAGTGTAGTGTGTCATTAATGAAGCCATGTTACTTGATCAGAAAGTAAATTCATGTCACACACACACACATGCCGCCCATTGCTGTAGAGAGCTAATTTTGTATCAATATGATCTGAGATTACACAGAGTTTTGTTTATATATGTGTAAGCAACTGAGCATCTTAGGCCATCAGTATGGGAGATGTTTTGTTTTCTTTTGGCTTGTTTGGTTTGTTTTGTCTCTTTCAGTGCTGAATGATCCTTGCTATAGTATTTTAAAGGGAGGGCTGGAAGGTGGATTTCCAGAAGTGATCTGGACAGTATGTCCTTGTTGAAACAATATATTTTTTGTTTAGGTCAAAAGTCACAAATTATTTAACTGTTCTGCTTATGTTTTGAAAAAGATCAAATGCAAGTGTTTGGTCCTTTATTGTTTTGAGATTTGTGTGTATGTGTGCATACTTTCTGAATTTAGATTGCAATTCTAAAGGAGAATACTTCAAATCCAAATGGATTAGTAAGTGATGTGTTTCTACCTTTTAAACTGCTGACTTCTCAGTTGATCAGGTCTTTTTTCATAGTGTCCTCTTTTGCTTTTTAGTTGGGTATGCTTATGTTTTCAGTGTTGAGACTGTTAAGTTTACTCCCTGGGCCATGTTTTGGAATTTAATGTTCTGCAGAATGCCCTATACTTCTGAGAACAATTTATTACTTAATTTCAAATGATCTTAAGAGGCTTGTTTATCTTACAGTATAAACTCTTTTTTCAGGAAAATTTAGAAAAAGTAAAACCTGATAGAACAGAAGAAAACAAGGAAGGCACACTGCCTAGGAAGGAAATAAGCCAGGAATATGTGCAAGAAACTTGGAGAAATATCATTCTAATACAGTAAGTAATACATTAATAAAAGCGCCTTCTCATATATGTGCTTTGTGTATGTAATGGCCCAATCGAGCTTTTGGCTTGCAAATTGTTTCAAAATTTTTAAAATCATGTTTTAAGTTGAATATTTTTACAAGCTATTGTTTACATATACTTTCTAATGTATTTATTAACATTGGATTATTGCATTTAAGAAATTTATTGTTGCTGATGTTGAAGTATGTGTTAAGTACCATAGATACTCTTTCTTACTGTTTTTTTGGTGTTTGTCCCAGGAAAAAGCGTGTTCTCAATATGTCCTTCTGGAAGTGAGAATTTATTAAACTAGCTTATCAAGTAACTGTTGTTTGAATAGATATGGAAAGAATTTGTTTTCATTCATCATTAGCAAACCTTTTAGACAACATCTGCTCTCTTACTCCCCACAGTTTGCAAACCATTTTAGGACTACCATCTTTGGAAGAAGTTTTGCAGCCAACACAGGTAGTTCCTGAGTATGTCATATACAACATGACTAACACAAGCAAACATGGTGTTGTTATTTTGCAGAACAAATCAGGTAAGGTGATTCCCCCCCTGCACCAGTTTTGCTTAAAGTTTCTGTATGGTGTAATTACAACAAACAATAATTAATAACTAAAGTAATATGTTTCATAGTCTGCCTTTGACACTTTTTTCCCTAAACTATGGTGCAGTTCAGTGTATTTGTCTAGAAAGTTTTGTAGGTATATTGCATTCAGTTTTAAGTTACATGTGTAGCAGTATTTAAAATTAATTTAAGTCTTGATCTTTCATATTTGAGGTATTATTTAATACACATGTGCTATTATTTGTATTAGTTATTAAGTCTTTGGGCTTCTGCTTAAATAATGTTTTTTTCTGTTTGTTTATTTTAGAAGACCTCCCTCACTGGGTGTTGTCAGCTATGAAATGCCTCGCATACTGTAAGTCACTGAATAGCTTTTAAATTCCAGAAATCTCTTTTTGACAGTTGAAAGTGACATATACTTGCCTTTTAAGATCAATTGTGATGTTTCATTTTGGAAATTCAAAAAACCTAAGTGCCTTGATATGGTAGGAAGTAATGACAGCAATCCATATCAAATTGTTGCACAGAAACATAACCTAAAAGAGTTAACCCATGTTAAAGATGTTGTATTTCAGGTAATCAAGATATCAATCCTTTAGCAGTCTAGCTAGTTATCCTGCTTTCAGGCTGTATCGTCTGATTCTGTGTCTGAATTTCTTGGTGATGTGAACAGACTAAATTAGTGGAAGAGGGGCTTCAGTGTTCCATAATCCATGAAATGTACAGGAGAATTAATTAAACTCTGTAAGCTTTCAGCAAAGCATGCTGTCCAAGGCCATGAAAAAGCTAAGGACTGATTTTTATAAAAATAATGCCTATTAACAAAGAGTTGGGTTGCGAGAAAACCCAGTAGTTGGGCAAAACCTGTGTATGGTTTCCTCTAATGCAGTTTTTCAGGAGTAAAGGGACCTTCCTCTTCCAGTTACTGGCTTTGAGCTGGACTAAAATAGTCCCTACATTTCATGTTAAACTGGAGGGGCCAATTCACAGAAAACCAGTTTTTTCTTTGTCTTAGAAGAAATCAAACAAAATTTTGCAAGGGCTTGAGATAAAAGCATGCTCCTATATTCAACTTTATAGTCTGCTAAATTTGTCATGAGAACAGAAGGAAGAGTTGTGCTCATTTGTTCCTGGATCCTAGACTTGGAGTATAGCTCCACTGCTACCTCCTTGTCTGCTTCCCCACCTCTTTCTCCAAACGGTCATTAGAAAAAGTTTATGCTTAATAGCCTGTAAGTCACCCTTTATAGCTCCGGTTCAGCTGTGGAAAATGAAGGCCTTTGTCATACAAATCACTGCCTAGTAGATGAGATGAATGTATAACGTTGGACATTTTAGCTGTTAACTGTGTTTTGCGACAACTGAACTTCCATTGTCTGCACTCATCCGCTGTTTTGGTATTAATGTATGAAATATCAAACAGCAAAACTGAAAGTACTGGTTACAACTTCCAGAAAATGTAGTCCTTCTGTTTTGGGTTTTTTGTGTGTATTTGCTTAAATGTAAAATTTAGAAAGGCATGATGTTAATCTTCAGAAAAGAAGAATCATTTACCTAAGGCATCGGTGTTACATGTACTTGAGTAGCTGCCTTGGAACTACTGGGAAAGTATTTACTGAGGAATAATAAAATTAACACAGGTTTTCACACTTGGAAGGGGGGAAAAAAGTACTTTCACATTGAACCTAATGAAGTTCAGTTTCTAATGGCTCAGTCTGTTGTGGATTCTCTTGCTAATGAAGGAGTGGTTTTGTTCTTCAGCATGTACTGTAGCAGATCTGTGTGGTACAAATAGTCTGTCTTCTTTTCGGTAGCAGTGATTTTTATGAAACTTCACAGAACCTGTCTTTGAGGCTCCCGTTGTCAAATGTGTTTGAAATTGTGTTACAAACACATATAGATTCCCATTATGTAAGCTTTGCATCTTTATGAAGCAGGCTTTGAAAAGATTCTGGAGAGTCTGAGGACAATTAGACTGGCTTTTTTTTTTCTCCCCAAAACTGCCTCTTTAAATGGCTAAGAGGGCATGCTAGAGTTAGATGAGTGCCCCTCAAATGAAATTGTGGATAATGAGCTCTTTTTATGCGTGCTTGCCCTGCTGTTTAACTCTTGCCCCTATTCCTGGCAATCTCCGTCATTAGCTCTCCTCAAAGCTATACTAGCTATAGTGTGGTTGGATGGCCTGTGTTTATACATCTGGATATAGCTCTAGCTGCTCAGTGGAACTGTGATAAGGGTCCATGCCGGGTGGCTTCATAAGTTCAGTTTGCAGCATACACTCTTGTGAAAATTACCCTTTTTTTTGCTTCAACATGACTCTTTTTCTTCAACTGCCTTCCCAAATACGTAGAGCCTCTTACATGAAGAGCACTATTAGGAAAAGCAGGACAGGGAAGAGCTGGGTGAGTGGATTTCGATCAAAGTAGAAAATACAGCTGAGCACTACTGGTCTTTGAGCATTTCAATACCTTAATTTCCACATCAGTCCTGTATTTAGAACTGATAGATTTTTGTATTCATGAGATGGAAACTGCAAGCAAGCTCTCTGTTTTTTTTAATTCTCAGTTTCTAATTTGAGCGAATTAGTTAAAGTGGAGATTTTTAGCTCTGCATCTGCTAGCTGTACTGTAACCACACGATTAAGGCAGTAGCTACTTTGCAGAGTGAAAATACTTATGCTGGCAGGGGGAATACTGCTCTGCTCTGTTTTTAGTATAGTGTGTGGTAATGTGATATGATTATAAAGTTTGAGCATCGCAAAAGTTCGATTTTCCCTGGTTCTATGTGTAATTAAAACTGCTATCGCCTAATTCATTAGAATCAGCTTTGTAAGGCAGCTTATTTAATTTTCAGGAGTTAGTGGAATATGATCATGTTCGGGTTAAAAGATCTACACAATGTCAAATTTTATTTGTACCAAGACCCCTTTCATTCATACTTTTTCCTGCCTGTAGCAATATGGTCAAGGTTTATTAGCCAGATCTCTTGGACTATTGGATTATTTATCTGTCCACTTCTGAAGAAATGATCCACTATGGGAGTAGTGGTGAACAAAGCTTTCTCTTGGTGCACCATTTGGATAGGGGAGTTGAAAAGAGGAGGCGCCCACAAAGGGAAGAGATGCTGACCAGCTCGGTTTGGCCTCTGCATAAAGCAGTGTGTATACATTGGCTGGCTTCTCGGCACGTTCTTCAAAGTTGGTCATAGCATGAGCTGCTTGATCTGGAACCTAGAGCTCCCTGTGGGAGAACTGGGATAACGGTAGTTTGGAAATGAAGGAAAATGATGGATGTTTGTGATTATTTTGCTGAGGAACCTATAAAGCACATAAATGAGTTTTTGTGTTTTTTTTTTTTCTTGGGGTGGAACAGCTTGTTGAAGCTGAGCACAACTCTTCAGTGGCTATATAGAATATTTTATACTATTTTTGCATACAAGTGGTACAGTGCTGAACTAAACAAAATATTTGTATATTGCTGACATTCTGTTCTTGTGAAATAGTCATTCCTACAAGAACAAACTTGTGCTGATTTTTTTTTTTTTTTAAATAATGGAATTGAGAGTAAATACTTTTGTGAATTTTCTTTCTTTACCTTTTTTAAGGGCCTAGAAATAATGACATGAGCCAACCAACTTACAGTGGGTTTGAACGGGATGTATTCAGAACGGTTGCTGATTACTTTATCAATCTCCCTGAACCATTGCTTACATTTGAATACTATGAACTTTTTGTTAATATTTTAGGTACGTATGAATTTAGAAATAATCCGTTCAAGCTATAAGGAACAAATCTGTAATTCAAAGCAGACCTTGATCCCCTGATCTGTATGGCAGCTTGAATCTGAGGAAGATCATCAATCCTATTGTTCTATATTACAATATTAATTGAAATGCAGTTCTGTTTCATAATATCCTATATAAATTGCTGTCTGAGCTAACATTCTAAATATGCAATAACCATAATTTAAAAATATGTGCTTGTTTCTGTCCTTCACTATTGCAGTGTGTTAACTTTCTTTATTCTTGCATGTTGGTTGCAGTTACCTTTTAGATTTCTTTTGGATCGAGCTAAATTTTTCTTAGGTTTTACTAACAGAGTCAACTATAAATTAGTATCTTATATTTGTTGTCTTCTCTGTTCAGTTAGCAACTTTCTTTCTGGACTTGTTCATTTTCATACCACTTGCATCTTAACTTATATTTCATTTTCTGATAGTTATGTGTGGCTACATCACAATTCCAGATATATACAGTGGAAAACATTCTGTCCGAGATGAGAAATGTGACCCACAGTCTTCCAAAATTCTTCACTTGAACTCTTTCAAGTCAACTGAGTGTCTTCTTCTAAGCCTACTTTGCAAAGAACCTGACAAAAAAGAGTATGAAGCGTCCAGGAAGCTGTCTTCAGAAGAGCTAACTATTGAAAAACAATGTGCAAAGAAATTGCAGCAATATAAACTGACATATAAACAAGGTGGTGCTCATAATCTAATAGGAGGAAGTTGTCAAAATCTTTCAGGTTTCAGGAACGAACAAGAGCCAGCTCAAACATTTAGGGCAAGATGTTACTCTTTGGAAAGAATCGGAGGTACTATTTCAAGCGTATGTAATAAAGGAGAATCCAATTCCTTCAAGCAAAATGATGTGAACAGCATCCTGGGCACAAGAAATGGAAAACAACCATATGAGCATAAAGCTAATTCTGTGTTGGAGCTTGATTTTGATAACACGTGTCAAAAAGAAACCTATGGTATCAAGAGAGTCTCTGCCTCAACTCTTCAGGATAAAGAGTTGTTTAATGAAAATCACAAGTCGAAGCAAATATGTAGGTCTCCGATTTTGCTTGGCAAGAGGAGCTCCAAAAGTTGCACTAGCATTAATATACCAGTTGCTGAAATCACAGTAAAGCCAAGGCCTCAACTTTGTGGGCAAGGAAAACCAAATACCTCTGGTGCGTCTACTTCAATGGACATGAGGACTGAGGTTTCTGATATCACCGTCAATAAAAGACTCTGCAAAAGTACCCTAGAACTCTCAGAATACTCTTTCACTCACTCTTCCTATATGTTGACTGGCACGCAAAGTAAGATGGCTTTCTAAAGCATGTTGTATTGGCTTATTGTGTTGACTAACTAATCTCTGCTTCCTTAATCTTTGGCACTGTTGCTACGTTTTTTGATATGCGTATAACGTGATCTCTGGGTTTTTAAAAAAATGCCAATTGCTAACTTACACTGTTTAAAGGTAGCCCTTTGTTAGCCCTGCAAACAAATAACAGCATGTAGTATCTTTGGAGTCTTAAGCTTGATACCTCAGTAACTCACCTTTCTGTTCAGGTAAGTGATAAGTAATTCTGACCTAGACACTGTCTAAAAGTGAGGCAGGGGATTTGCACAGTCCTGCCTGTTGGAGGATATGTCCTTTTCTGGTCTTAGAAACACATTCCCAGAAGAATGTCCAGAAAATAACATTATTGTCATTTCTTAATTGTATTACGGTCTTAAGTGTACCAGCAGTTTATCATAATGAAGCAAGTTGAAGATGACCATGCAGAAAGGTCACATAACATTATCTACTGTTACAACTGATTTCTATGAAACATAGATTATCATAATTAAAAAAAAAGAAACTTCTTGTACTGAGATAAAAATCTCCTGAAAGGTGCTTCAAATCTTAATGACAGCTGTCCTTACGATTAATTTGTAGATCTCCTTCAGCCTCATTTAGAAAGAATTGCTGTCGAAGCACTACAGATATGTTGTTTGTTGCTTCCACCACCAAATCGTAGAAAGATTCAGCTCCTAATGCGTATGATTTCTCGGATCAGTGAAAATGTTGACATGCCGCGACTGCATGACGAGATGGGCACACGTTCTTTGGTAAGAGAATCACGAGGGCAGTGTACCTATTGTTTTAAGAAAGTTGCTGAAGTAATGCTGGGAATACTAGCAGTATTAAGTACTTGAGGTTCTTGTCTCATTGGAATTGAATAGTGATTAATGGGCAGGTGTTTCATCTCCAGAATATTTACAAAAATCTGACTTGAAGCAAGCACTTTCTTGTCTCCATCCTAATATATTTCAAATATTGGTGTTGCTTTTGTTCATTAAAAGAATGCAAATGATTGTTTAGTCTGATTTCTCACCCAACTGACATTTAACTTAAAAGCTGTTGGCAAAGTGTCTATAGAAAACATTTCTTGGGATAAACATTTGTGTATGTCAAGTTATGACAACAACAGTTCCAAAAAAGTTATTTTTCTGCCTAGGGAGTTGAAAAACTAGCTTCAAGATCAGAATTTAAGCTTTCATGGGAACAACAAAAGATCAAACAAGATTAGATAAAACAACAAAGTACATGCACATGCTAATTTAAAATAAGCTTACTAAAAGCTGGAAATATGGAAGCTGTAAAAATATGTTTTAAAGCTATTTAAAACTGGATCTTGGTGTGCATTAGATCTTTGTTAGGTTGGCTCTGCACTTTTTTTTATCATCTCGTTTGTATCAAGACAACTAATTGAAGATGTACGCTTTTCTACAGGGGAAGACTTTTTCTTATTATTACCTCTTTAAAATATGTGTTTCTTAATTGAAAGTACTGTTCAATTAAAAAAAGTACAAGTCTAATGTTATAAGAAGTTACTTTATTTCAGATGTGGAAAAAATTATAATTGGTTTCCTCCTCTCTTGACCGATGGTGCAGGCAAGAGAGATTGCAATGAAAGTTGCTATTGGAGAATTCATTGTGCCACTGTGTAAACTGGAAAGAAGACAGATCCCTCAGCTGCATGTACTAATGATCTGCTAAACACTTCTAGATGATACAGACTTTTTCTCGATGCGTGCTATGCTGTGCAGAAGAAGTAGATCTTGATGAGCTACTTTCTACACGATTAGTTTCATTTCTAATGGACCATCAGCAAGAAATATTTAAAGTACCAACTTACCTGCAGGTTGCAGTGCGAGATCACATAGAATACTTGAAGATGGCTCAGGTTGGTGGCATGATAGAAGTTTAAGTTCATTTGCTAATTGCAGAGTATTTGTTACTTCTAAAGGTGGGATGGTAAAACTGCAAATAAACCCACTATATTTTGAATGCAAACTTCTATTAAACTGTTGGTGCAATCATAGATATTAGCTACGTTATAACATAGTGCAACTTGTGATGTCACTGTCAATTAGTATGCTTGGATGTTTGTTAGGTAGCTCTTACTGAAATAGTATGTAATCATTTGAGTATATGTAGACCTCTTCTTCAACTTTTGTTTCAGTGCAAATATCCAAAGGAAGACATTTGTGCCATCTTGCCAACATATTCATACTGCAAACAGATAACTCCTCAGGAGTTTGAAGAGCAAAAGGTTTCTACCTCTCAAGCTGCAGTGGCAGAGCTCTTGGAGAACATTATCAAAGATAAAAGCTTGTCTGTGAAAGACAAAAAGAAAAAGTTAAAACAGGTAATAAACTTGGTGGATATTTCATCTACTTCTGAAAGCGCCTTTGGGAGGGAAGGAGAGAGGAACACGTGTTTTATGGAAGAGAACTGTTTAACGTGTTTTGATTGTATGCTCCGATTGGGATTTTAAAGACAGTGTCGAATACAGCATTTGATACTGTCTGGCAGCAGTGGTGTTCGAACAATTATTTAAAACCGGTATAAAATAAGGTACTGCTCTCCGTTACGTTCATGGGTTCATGAAAGGCAGGTCCTGCT